CGTCGCGGTCGATTTGATACCTTGAAGAACTAATATGGTCTTCCATGAAATGGGAGCTCTCCTCATAATCAAGCTTATCTCTAGTTTGCCGCCTGGGATAGCCGAGGTGAGCATACGCGTATACATGATGCGCCTAATGATGAAGGTTTTAGGGAGCTCCTTTTCGTGACCTATTTGATGGAAATATTGTCCTTCATAAACTCTGTTAATCTTGGCTTGCCAGGCTTCTCCCAAATATCCATCTTTGATCCCTCTGAGGTAATTTATATAATGAGATCGCATGTGGGCTTGTTCGTTGAAGGTAAGCGTGGAAAACCAATCTTTAATGTCCGAACCGTCTTCCAAATTCATCCATAACCAGTATCCCAGAGCTTCCAGGAGATCTCCCTCTAACGCGGCTAGCTGTTGAATCTTCATGAAATACTGAACTGCTGTATTAGGATTACCATCCCAACACGGGAGAGATTCCTGTTTGATTTCGGTCTTGATGGTTGGCTTTATCTGTCCGTAAGGTATCGTAGCTTTTCTTTTCTTAGTTCGACTAATGGCGCTCTTAGATTCATTGTCCGACGATTCCGAACTCGAACTTGAACTGTCTCCGTCGCTGGGTTCAGGAGATGGTCCTCGACCTCTTCTTCCTCGTCTAGACGAAACCGAATCAGAAGCTTCGCGTCTAGTATCTCTACTATCTCTTCGACGTCCAGATCGGCCTCTGTTACTTCCATCACCATCACCGTCATCTCCTTCGTCGTCAGGAGGATCTCCATTTGATTGATGCCTCGTAGATTCAGCCTTACAACGACTGTTGGATGGGATCGAGCTCCGTCTACGGTTAGCAGAACTGGAAGTCATATGTGGAGGAGGCTGTCGGTCTGGCCACTCGCGCAGTTGTTGTGTGGAGCTCGCTCCTTGTTTCTTAGTGTCTGAAGGGGGGTCATCCGCCCAGATTGGTATCTGTGGAGTGGCGATACCAAATAATATGTTCTGGTTCGCTTTCGTTGTCTTACTAGTCGTGGTGCTATTCATTGTTAATCTAGGTTTCAATCTTCCTCCATCGAACCACTTGTTCAGTCCTTTATATGGAGTATCTGATCCTAGCCAGATTCTATCCGCTGTAGCTTCGTCTTCGACATCCTGGTCAGTCCTCGTTTCTTTCTGCTTCCCTTTAGAAGACGGATTTCCTCGTCTCTGTTCTCTATAGTCGTCTTCTGGGATCAACATGCTCTTTAAGCTGTCTGGCAATGGTAATACATTTGTCCATGGCTTAGCCTGACTCAGAGCGGCTTCCGCTTGAGGGGTCAATTGGCTGCGGTGATGCAGAAAATTTTGGTAAAGATAGCGAAGTCGCTGGTCGGCTGATGGTAAATCTTTAAACCCAGCGTGTATATCTGGTAGAGTAGATATTGGGGATAGCAATATATCCTCCTCTTGGGGAGAATGCTGATATTGTGACGCGTACTTGTATAAGGTACGATGACCTAGTTCGAAACGCATCTGTAGTGCTTTCCACGCTACATTCAGTTGTGGGAGACTTGAAGTCCCATTCAGGAAGTACGAAAGCGTATCCTTAGGATCCACTGCGAAGTATCGAGTTCATTCCTCTAAGAGGCCTGCAGCCCTTTCCACGAAGACTTGCAATTCCACCGCAGTTTTATCAATAGTAGATAATAAATCCTTCGATAAACGGTATTTCGTAATACTCCTGTTTCTATCCTCTAGTCTTTCGACGTGCTCAGAGGTCAAGTCTGTCATAGAAACTAACAGGTTCACCCATGTCTCCGTTGATACGCCACCATCTCTGTGTTCACCTGTATATTCCTCTAGTATCTTTACCATAGGGGAGTTCTTCGAAGAACGGTCGCCTCTAGCTCCGATAGGAAGATTCGGTTCGTCGCCTTCCATTATGGTTTCGAATCCTGGGGTCGTACTAGGTTCGGGACTAACGTCGTCCACTGTATCCGCCTCGAGAGTTGATTCTCACGAGGTTGTAGCCAATGCGGACGGTAATGCAGTGACTGTGATGTTTGAGGTAGTCGGTTTGGACTTTGATGCGGTGAGACTGAAAGTAGATAGAGGGGATGTGGGCTTCGCAGTTGATTGAGTAGAGGTAGGTTGCGACATCTTTCTTCGAGTTATGTTCGAAGTCCGTATGCCCAAACGGCCGGAGATAGACGTCTCGGTAGAGGTTGGGGTAGGGGTAGGTATGTTTGTAGGCTTTATAGGGGATACCGATCTTGATGATTCTCTTGATCTGCGAGTAGTGTGAACAGATCTAGAAGATCGGGTGAATGAATAAGAAGGTCCAGTGGTGCCAGTAGCACGATTTGAAGTTGTTTGATCGATAACGGGGCCAGGAGTGACTGTAGCGGATGTACTATCCGATGCTTCCTCACTAGGCCTAGTCTTCTTGCTGTTGTAGTCGGCCAGGTTGTCGATGGATCCCACAGTGTCCACCTTTGTAAGAGGTGTTCCGTGAGCTAGGGAACTAGAGTGGGGATTCTGTACCAACGACAGGTGAGCTGGCAGACACAGAGTCACAGGGATTACTATGGTGTACAATCGGATGCCAGTTACGGTCTAGTCTCGCGCTTACTTAGCGGAGATCGTTAGCGCTTCGGATATCCGTTGCACGATCTCTGCACTTTCTCAGGAAATCCTCGAGAAAGTAGCAAGCAGGAGAGAGAGAGTAAATGACGAAAGACGATGCCCAAACACCTCAAAGAGAGTATTCAGTAGCTTTACTAAAGTCAAAGCACTTACTATACTTCAGGGGAATGCAATACGACGCGATTCCAGATGCAGAGTACACGTATTGGTGGTTTGAAAGATAGAAAAAGGTAGTGTTACATCTGTGACTACAAGTATGTAATGCGAGTTGAATCGCGTGCTTAAGTAAGCGAATGTCATGTATGTAAGAATAACAGTAAAGTAAAGATATGCCCGTAGTGAATGCTCTTGATAGCCAGGAAATTCGTGAAGTGGGGATTATAATAGGTAAGGCATCCGTTACACCCACAAGGAGAGTAAGCAAACGTTTGGCTCCCCACTCACCATCATTGGAATAGAAGTCGACCCTAATGCCTTATCAATGACGATGCCTGCCGAAAGCCTCCAACAATTGATTACCGCAATCCGCAACTTCATCTCCATGAAGCACAAATTCACCTTGCGTGAATGGCAGAGGCTAGCAGGCTGGATAAATTGGAGTTTCAACGTATTCCCCTTACTCAGACCTGCACTAAACAACTTTTATGCGAAAATAGGTGGTAAATCTGCCCCAAACCAATTCATCCGAATCAACAACACCGTCCGCGCTGACCTCGCCTGGGCCGCAGACCACCTGGAGTGTGACAGCGGTGTCAAGCTCATCCATCAAATTTACTGGGATGTGAATGCTGCAGACTTAACGATTTTCTGTGATGCCTGCCTTGAAGGTATGGGTTTCTGGTTACCTGACGACCGTGTTGGTTTCTACTCACCCACCCCTGATGGCACGACCAACGAGCACATATTCTTCTTCGAAGTGTTATGTGTCCTATCTGCCATTCACCACGTCACCGATATCCTCCGAGTCCCCCCAGCCACCAAAGTCCTCATCTACACTGATAACGACAATACAGTCGCCATTTTCAATACGCTCAGATGCCTCCCCCATTACAACACAATCCTCATCGATGCCGCCGACACATGTATCAATTACAACTTACAACTCAGAGTCCTCCACGTTGCCGGAGAGCTGAACTGTGTCGCCAATGCCATCTCGAGGAACAACTTTAATGTCGCACGTCAGTACGTCCCTGACCTTATCATTTCACCTTTCATACCCCCTCGATTGCCGCTGGGGGCTCCAAAAAAATGATCCCTACAACTGTGCATGCCAGGCAACCTCAGAGGGAAGCCTGGTCATGGGAGAAGCTTTTCAGAGAGTGAGCTATCGCCCTCAGACAAGCCATCGACAACTCCACATGGAAGACCTATGGTTCCGCCCTCAACTCCTACCTAAACTTCATCAAATTACATGACTTCCCCCTTGATCCAACCCCTGACACCCTTAGTCTATTTACAGTCTACATGTGTCACCATATCAAACCTGGATCCCTCGCAACATACCTCTCTGGCATTTGCCAGCAACTAGAACCTTATTTCCCCGACATACGCAAAGCACACAACTCTGCTCTTGTACACCGTACATTGCAGGGGTGCAGGCATCTGCGTGGTACACCAACTTCTCGTAAACGCGCCCTCACTCTAGACGACCTTGAATTGGTTGTCAACACACTAGGAGATTCCTCTGACTACGACGACATCCTTTTTCTCGCACAACTGCTTACTGGCTTCTTTGCCCTTCTCCACTTGGGAGAAATGACCTACCCAGACGACCCGCAACTCCGTGACCCCCGAAAAGTCACAAAACAAACTTCTGTACGTTTTTCCGACCTTTCCTATCAATTTTTTCTGCCTGGCCATAAGGCTGACAGATTCTTTGAATGGAATACCATTATCATTCGAAAGAATGGGCATGTCTTTGACCCCCACAAACGTTTCCTCGCATACATCAATGCACGTGACAGCAAATTCCCCTTCAGCTCCCCCCTTTGGTTGACTAGCAAGGGCGTCATCCCTACCCAATCTTTCTTCATCAAACGCTTGCGTCGTTTCTTTGACTCTGACACCGCCGGCCAATCACTCAGAGCAGGAGGGGCAACTTCCCTTGCTGAAAATGGAGTGCCACCTGCAATTATTCAAGCAATTGGTAGATGGGCATCAGATGCCTTCAAAATCTACATCCGCAAGAACCCCGTTCTCATCCAAGCCTTGCTGTTTGGCCAAACTGCGTGCTCCGCATCATCATACATCCACGCCTTGGATTCCTAATTTTCCTCTTACTATTACAGACTTTTACTTACTCACAGACTTTTTTATCTTTTACTTCTACAGACTTTCCCAACCCCCTCATCCCCCACGACATGGACGTATCCCTTTTCTACATATATACACGCATGTATTCCCTCCTATTTTTTCCCCTCGCTCCTCACATCAATCACTACGTGATCTCATCACCCCTTTTTTCTTTTTCTTCATATAGGATTCTAGCCATACCTCGAGTGGAAATACGTTGGAATCAGGCACGCGCCGCGCCTGATCTTCCTGACTTTGGCTATTCCCTTATCACTCAGTCAGTCACATCGCCTCTGCATCACGCAAAGCCTAGGCATCATTGGAGGTACTTAACTCATAGACAAGTGATGCGGCCCGCTAAAAGGATACTTTCCCAATGCGGACTAGCGCGGACTGATCACGGTGTACATGATGTATCAACAAAAAACCAAAAAAAAAACGTGTTTCTTCATTTGGCGCTCATGAATTGCACTACTACTACTCTCCTCTATACACTCGTCGCCTTCCTCATCCGATAACTGAGGGGGCGTAAACATAGCGGCGGGGACAAATGTTTTCCGACTCACGTCCCGAGAAACCATATGATCTGACCGCAGTACTTTACCCTCCCCCATGAGTTCCGGCGGACTCCAACGGACTCCCATAGAATGTCGGAATTCCATCTGGAGTCTGCCGGAATGGTAGGAATCTCAAATTCCAGTGGATTCCGCCGGATTCTGAATGGAATTCCAATGGATTCCACCGGATTCTGAATGGAATTCCAATGGATTCCGCTGGATTCTGAATGGAGTTCCAATGGATTCCACTGGAATCTGAATGGAATTCCAGAAGACTGATTAGTGCTGATCAGAACTGAGGTAGAGGTCAGGTGACTTGAGCTGTATTTATTGAAGTCAGAAATTCAAACCTCCTATAA